AAGAGCTAAAAATGAGCTCATTAATGCAAGTTGCTGACTTTATCGTCCAGGACGATAGATATATCGTCCTGGCCAATTAGTTCAAATATGAGGAAAATCATCCTGAATATCGCCCTGAAATGAAGCTGGACGATGTATAATCGTCCCGGATGATCTTGCGATCGGCCCAGACAAAATTACCATTAATTGCTTTCCAAAATTGCCAGAGAAATTTTGGAAAAATTGTCCTGGATTGTCCTAGTCGATATTTTATAGTCCAGGCCGATCCACCAGGCCGATATCCAAAAATAAGAATTTTCTAAGTAGATCTGGCGACAGATTCTTTCTGAATTGAGCTTATCGTCCTAGCCGATACAAAATCGTCCAGGATGATGTATTTTACATAAAGATGACTTCTTTAATGAGGATGCCCTAATTAGGGTTTCTTCTTTTGAACAGATCGTCCCGGCCGATATAAATATCGTCCAGGATGATGTTACCAAAAATAATAAACTCTAGGGAACAGTCAGAAACTCTTATACGTTACAAAATATTAGGAGCCACAATAAATACAGTAACTCAAGAAAGGAAAAAAGTGTACAAACTGACTCAGACCTAGTCTACCCAATCTTGAGCTGGTTTCAAATTGCAGTCCGTTCGTGTAAACCTGAAATGTCAGTACATAAGACAATCGTAGAGAAAAAAGAATGTTTGCTATCATCAAAATCATAAGCCATAGATCCGTAACAATCTCTCCCTTTTTGATGATGGCAAACATTTTAATTTGAATTTGCAAAAGGAAACATTTTCTCCTAATCTCCCCCTCACTAGAATAACACTTAAAAAAATAGGGGAGAGAAATATTTTTGTTGTTTTAAATTTTTTGAAAAGAAGAAAAAAGATACAAATTCAACAATACGTTCTCCCCCTTTGACATTATCAAAAAGAGAGGAGACACAAATAAAAAACAAAACGAACAAAAGTTAAAAACGTTCCCTGATATAGTGAAAAAACAAATATTCTTAAAATGAGAAAGTTACCTCTTCATTTTAATCAAAACCTTAGTAGAATTGGATTGACAATGCATAATCCAAAAAAAGTAAGAAATTCATAAATTGTTAATCCAAGCTCAAGTTCTTTTAAAGGCTAAAAAAACTTTTTAATTCAATATCCAAATCAAGAAATAAACGGGAAAAAGAAACATTAATTTTTTTAAAACTCCTTTCATAAAACATATCTAATAGAAGATCAATGCACAAATTACTGAATCAGAAACCAAAATTTTCAAGCACAAGTTTCAAACATATCAAGGATTTTCTTAAGTTTTTAGTAGTATAAGAAAAAATAAGCATATATATTTTGTGGGCTCATTTTATGCCCTTTATCACTTGAATGGCTCTTTGAGCATCTTTTGATTTTAATATACTTTGTGTATTTTTTTTAATTTGGCATCATTGTGCATCTTTTGGTTTGGCATCATTGGCCACTTTTTTTTTAATTATTTTCAAAAAAAATGCTTTCTTTCTTATATTTTCAAAATCAAAGTAAACCCAAATTATTGACAACGCGAACAACTTGATTAAAAAAATTTTATGGTGGATACAACAATCTTGCAAAATATTCCTATGCGATAGAAAAAATGTAGAGAGATAAAAAAAATCAGTTTCAAAATCCAATTTAAAATATGATGAAGATTTTGAATCAAAAGTAAAATAACCACTTTAAGAAGAGAGGAAGAGAAACAAAATTATGAGTTCCCTTCCTCTGACTGTTTTAGAGAAGTCAAACACAACTTATCAAATATTTCAAAAAAAAGAAGTAGATTTCACATTTTTAGAAAAGTGAATGTGTGTGTTGATCAGAGAAAAACTTCAATGAAAACAAAAATTTTAAAGAATAAACAAAACTATAACATAAAATAAAAAACATAAAAATAAAAACACAACAAAAACAAGGATTTTAACCATTATCTCTCTCCTGGTCCGATTCTTCAGAGACCAGATCTGCCCATGAGATTTTTTGCCTTTCATTATTTCCCCAGTTCAAAGTTTGTTTCTCCTTGCCTTTTTCTTTCGTAGGAAGAATTTTTAAATTAGGACATTAATTTTTTATATGTCCAGGTTTCCTACATCAAAATCAAATAACGTCAGAAGGAATATGAACATCCTTACCATTTTTACCTTTTTTTCACTTTTGCTTATGCTTTGGTGAG